TCTTTTTATCACAGGCRCTCTTCTCACATTCAGTACAGCAGGTATTAATGCAGAGGGATAGGAAGACACCACRTCTTGAAATACCTTATAACAAAGAAAATATGAAACAAAACTGTGAAGGATGCAGCAAAAATACAYACACATTTCAGTACCTTTTTTCTCACTCCTCCAGTCTCTCATTACCCTTGGACACAGTACCCTTAGTTAATCAGAGAATGTCAAGTTCAAGCACAAGTTCTGTGGTTCAGCTCAAGTTGCTGTGCTGCAACGTGCAATTTCACTTACGAATTACTCATTTGTTATTAGGGTCTCTTGCAATTTTGCTCCTACCCTTAATCTTTAAATATAATTCAGCAGCTTAACAGCCAAAAATATCATTATCTTCCTAGCAGGCAAAGGAAGGAAGGAATCCTACCTCTGATTTTCAGAGATAGTGGTTACCTGCCCTTATGGACTTAAAATAATATTTTGGGCACTACTACCTCTGAAAGGTCAGGCTTTCAATATAAACAACTGGAATTCACCCCCAAAACAGAATAGTTTCCATGCACTGAAAAGAAAGTATTCTGGTCAGATTTAGAGAAAAACTTGGGCTGTGCTTTCACTGGAAATGGATGACAAATTTAAAAATTGTTTTTAGGAGAGCTTTGACATGAGGAAGGGAAACGTGCAATCAGTGAAACAACTCACTGCCACCCATGAACCAGCTCACGTATGAAAATAATAAAGGCAAAAAGTGTTGTCAGTCTCCAAAGAGATTTATCAGGAGATACCTGGTCTGCATAAGAGATGAATTTCAAATTCTGCCTCCTTCCACATTTGACCACACTGATTAAAAAAGCCCAGAGCCTATAAATAACTGATGATCAGCTCTGTCAGTGACAGAAGGAACCAGTTGTTAGATCACACCCAGGTATTTTCAGCATTACATTGTCTTCTGAATGCGGTGCTCTTTGATGCATATTTTTTTGCTGTGGCTATCGCCAAGTATTATTAGAAGTGAGTCAGGGATTGCACATTTGCTATGGCAAATCCATTCCAAAGGAAAGAGCTCCACAATGACAGATTAGTGAGAATGTAAGAATAAAAGCATTATTATTTTTTATAGATATATCTCTTTTCGGAAAGGAATTCAATTTATTACTTACACTATTTTTGTTAGGTTGAGCAGCAGATAGAAAAAATTAGCTGGAGGGTTACTTACTTTTAAGTAGATCCAGTGTTCCACTCCTCTCCTGGCAGAAAGAGAAAGGGAAGTACCTTCAGGTTTTCAAGGCACAGATCATGTATTTCTTGTGGTATGAAGTAATTTCTTTCAACATTAAGCTCTGCAATTCACCAATTCCCAGAACTGCATGTTAGAGTTYGCATTCTGAACAAAGCTAAGTACCTTCTCTTCCAGGTCTCTTTTGTCTTTTAAATGCATCTTCCTTGGTTGTATTTCATGTTATTGTGTTCTCACTGCTTCTGTATAAATGAACATATTAATCCTTAATTTTCTCAGTTTCTAACTCCATTTGCCAAGGAAGAAYTTTTCTTCTCTCAGAAGCTGCAGATGCAGATTTCCACTATGCCAGYTTCTTCCTGTCTGAAGTGGTCTGGCAAAAGGAATTAGTTCAGGAAAGTTCATAAAAATGTATATTTTCTTTTCACTTCTACTGTACTTCACAGCTGTCTCAGTGTGTTCTCATCATTTTTCTTTTGAGTATACTTATGAAAGCCCATCACAGCAGCTAAGGTCTGCAGGGTTGGAAAGCTGACCTTCCAAGAGAAGAGGTAGAAATATGGGAGCCAATCTTTCTCCTATCAAATGACAGTTCCTCCACAACTCTTTCATTCTTTGGGGTACCCTCGAGAAAATGCAAAACCTCAATTTTGATTTGTTGCAGCATTCACAATAGGGAAGAAAAAGCTTGACAGCAGCTTAGGCAGCTGTGAAACTTGAAGTCCATTTGACAAATACATTCTGTATTTGTATGCAGAAYTAAATGTAAGGGCATTAAAATCTGGCATGGAAGACTACGAGGGCAAGATATGCTCAAGTCTGAGAGAAGACAAGTTTTGGTTGGGATAAGATTAAACACACACAGCTAGAAAGTACAAGTGCAATACTGTTTGTGATTTCATATTTAAAAACATGGCACATCCATGTAGAGAAAAGTAATCCAATTGTAACAACCACTTAGAGCTGTTGCATTTTTCTAAACCCCAAAGGGGTGCTATAGAGGTACCATTCACAGAGATAAAGGACTTAAATGAAGCATCAAATTCATGGAATCAACTTTCTAAGTCTTCGGCTGCTGACTCTTGAAAATAYCAGTGAAGAAAACTGAAATGCCTATGAGTTAGCATGCAGTTGCATAAAGGTATCTGACATCACAACTACGATTCTTGCATTTTTCAAAAAAATAGTTGATCCCACCTTATCTCCTTTCTCTGTCTTTGAGAAAGGACATAATGAAAATAACTTCTCAGAACAGATTTCTTCTCCCTTTGAGTACCACATCACTGTAAAGAGCCCAGCACCCCCAAAACAGAATGGAAGGTGAAGGAATCGACATTTACTGCCACAGAGCTTYCCCTATCAGTTTGATGCTGCAGTTTAGCTATAAGCAACGGGAATCTGACTCTTGCTCAAAGAGCACCAGCTCTCTGTTCTGTTTTACAATGGATCTGTTACACCGTGGAAACTCTAATTTTGATGTCCCACTATATATGCTGGTAAAAGCACATCTATACTGGTTATTCAGACACTATCTGGAGTCTGCCTCACACCTCCTACAATGAAGCGACTGATTTTCAYCTATCATCACCTATACAGGGCACTGCAAACCATCCTTGAAACAGCTCATCAGCAACTGGTAGACTCTCTGTTAAAGCCGTAGCAGCATTAATAGCTGATGTCTTCACAAAAGTAAAGATTTTTTTTTTTAAAGCAGAAAAGTCTGAGAAAGACATTATTAGTCACAGGATGAACCAAAGGCTGTTAATCTCCTGTCTACACCTCAAGAAAGAAAAGAGGAGAAAAAGCTAATTTTAAAAAAGCTACTAGGGATAAAAAATTCAGACTGATGCTACATTAAATTAGGAGACTGAGATATCCAGCAATGGTCTTCAGTAAAAAAGAAAATTATAGGGTCTATCAATTAGAGAAGTGGTGCTCTGAGCCTATGTGCTGGCATGCTTACAGTTTTTTTAATGTCTGGCAGGATGTTTTACAAACTAAACTCAGCAAGATGACAATTCCACCAGAAGGTGCTTCAGATGGTTTTGCTAATAATTTTGATCAGCTGAAATGGAGAAAAACATCATTTCATTTATTTGGCTTTTCCAGAACCTGTCAAATCTGAGCAGAACCATTAATTGCCCCCTTCTACATGTCCCCCCACCATCTCTCCTACCTTCTTCCACACAGGACACACTTAATTTTATTTTTTTTCTATGAGTATTCTGCATAATTAGCCTTTGTTCCCCAAACAAACTTTGGTCATTCTTTGTGCACTTCCTTTCTAGATGGAAGTGCCATTTCTTGAGAATATTCATTGGAGGCTGGTACTGCTACTGCTGCAAAGATGTAAGTGCTAACCACCATATATTGGCTTTTGTTTTAATAGCCTTTTAACCAACTTTGTTAATGGACTGAATGCAATTTAGATATGGAACTTGGCTAAAATGTAGCTTCAATTGGCTATTAAAATTTAAGAGCCAACTAAGATAGCTAATTACAAAAAAGCTCTAGTGATAATGCTAAGCAGAATTAGTAATAGCAAATGACAGTCTGTCTAGTCTTATTCCCAAAGGGAAAGAAACTCTTAACTGAGAAGTCAACCAGACAACGTGCGGGAAACCTAATTGCATTACTGGTATTATGGCATCCCAAATCTGGCAGCTCACTGGGACAAAACAGTGAGAAAAGTCTGTCAAACTACTCAGAAAAGCAACTGACCYCCTCTTAATGCTAGCTGTAGCAAATATTGGGAATTATTATTTTATATTAAAGTATTGGAAATTATTCTTGTAAAAATTATCAAACCAGCACCATCTAAAAAAATATCTTACAGCCATCCTGAGTTTGACTGTCTCTCCAGATATATAAGGGGGAAATATAAACAATCTGTCTGCAAAATGCTCAAGCACTAAAAGAAGCATTCAGTGCTTCATTATCAATATCCTCATTACACCATCAGCTGAAGTGCCGACTAGTTCTCCTGTGAAGATTTATCATGTATGGTGGCCACTTTGAAACATAGGTAGCGGAGTCTTTAACATTCCCTACTCAAGTGTCTCCCTGCTGTGCCTGTAAATGTCAGTCCAGTTTTTTCACGGCTGCGCGCACAGATTAGAAACAGCAGGAGAGCTCGGGAGTATGACTACAATACTAGTAAGGACACTTGTCTTCATGGCACTGCTCAAGTGATTCTTGGAATGCAGGACCCTGCTGTTTTCTAATATTTACACACAACTGGAGTCATCAAGAGCAGTAAATGCAGTCTAAAGGCAGTTTGCTTCTTTTGTGTTAGGGGCTTTACTTTCAAACAGGGATGTCAACAAAATCCTGCTGCACCCTCCGCCTCTCTTAAAGTGCTGTATTTCCCCATCAGTGCCTCGCAAAGCAGCAAAAACACGTGTGTGCGAGCACGCACTGTATGCGATCCATACGGTAGCGCTGCGGGTACGGTCACAGCCTTCCCAACCGCTCCTCCTGGCYGTCCCACGCTTTAAACACCACTGCGGTTACAGCGAGCTGGAGCCTGGGGGTTTTGCAGTGCCTTGTGAGGAGAGACAAGCCCTGAAACAACATTCACCTTAAATGAAAACACCCTTTTCCTTCACAGAACACTTGCCGGGACATATTTTTCCAGGACATTTTTGGGGAGGGAGGAGTGGCTTATGAAATTTGCACCTCAAAACATTCTTTTCAAATATATGGAAATAACTGTGTTTATTGCATTTGGCTTTGGTGGTGTCAAAAGAAAACACACTTCTTGAAAACTTGGAAAGTAATGAAAGGAAGTTTACTGATAAATAAGTTACTAAAAAATAAAATGTCTAACAACCAAAGTACAAAAGAATGACATTAACTTTGAGTATGTGACAAGGAACAGAATACAGTATGCCTTCCTGACAATAGCTATTCAGAACAGTGTAACATACTTTCTGAATAAAATGATTAAACAAAGTCATTAAAATGATAGCTTGATTTGAGTTTTAAACATGAGAGAGGCTTTAGCAGTCCTATTTTTACATCTGAAATGAAGAGAATGCTGTGCTAAAGTTGTCAGCCTCTTTGCTAATACCCATGAAAATGAGCCCAACAGTCAACAGAAATGAGAAAGCACCTTTAAATATGCTATTCCAGTTTTATTTCAAAACAACAGATTCCATTGTTACAAAACATCATTCATTCATTCATTCATTCAACATTTCATGCTACAACATATTTATTTGTGTGAGTAGCTACTCAGTTATTTTACAATCAAGAAAGCTGGACACTCCACCTCTCACTGGCTCATAAGGATTCCTTTTGGTTTGCCAAACTTTCAGTTACCCTGATAAGAATGATGTTCCTGCCTTATTATGTTTATGTTGCAGTAAACATATAAAAGGTAGAAGTGTTTCACACTGAAATTCTCTCTATTACTTGACGTAGAACTCTGAAGAGAGGACTCAAAGCTAAGCAGGAAAGTGCTTTTACAAAAGGATTTGGAAGATTAACTTTTTTAATACTTGAGGAGCATGTAAACCATTGTTGCTATGAGAAGCAGATGTGAGACAATATTTCACTGGAACTAGATACTGTACAAAGTTACTCACAAGTATAACTTTTCTAGTCTTTTTGCTAATATAAAAAGAAAACCTGAGAGGGTGGTTGAGAATAAGCATTGGTTTTTGGTTGGTTCTTTCCTTTGCCCTGGGCCCTTTATTTGAAATTCTGGTCTCCTTCTTTCCAGAGAAACTGTGAATAATTGGAAAGTGTAATAAACACAAATACTATGCAAAAAAAGGCTAAAATTCAGTACCTGTCTTCCAAAGAATTCTTTAAATGCATTTTATACAAACTAGAATGGAAGGATATGATTTTTGCCTTAAGTTCTGATTTTAATTCAAAACTTGAAAAATATTTAAAAGCTATTTCTGCTTTTTCAGACTTCATCTCAATGTTTATCTAAGGGATCACCAATATGACTTTACTCAAAACTGGAAGAAGTCAGATGCAACACGGTTGTTTCTTCTACAGTATCCATCATGAAACTATTAAATAATGCTTTATCTCTACATTATAAAGCAGAAAAAGCACTCTCTTTTAGTTTGCCTTTAAGGCATGAATTTGTGTATATAAGAATAAAAACGCATCCCCACTTCAAAAGTTGGCAAAATTTTGCATTAGTATTTAAGTACACATAAATTATGCAAATATTTTAATAAAACATTTATTCTTCAAAAACAGGTACAAACAGCAGTCCRTGTTTTTACAGGATTTGTCATTTAAAAGGAAAGAAAAAATTCCAGTGCTACAAAAAAAACCTCCCAGAAATGAGCCAAAGAGCAACTTAATTTGCGCTCCATATATTATTTACTTCTGGACTCTCTTTCTGGCTGCTGTGCTTTTCTTGGGTTTTGGTGAGGTCTGCTGGGTTCTGGTAGCAACTGCATCTGTAATTTATACAAAACAAAAAGACTTTTTGTTAAATAAAATAACAAAAACAGATCACAAGTGAATACTTTTAGTCTTTAAAAGGATACATCAACCTAAATCATTAATTGAGCATTGAGTGGGGATGGGGAACATGACATGGACAGAGGGAGAATCTACAGCTATTTCTGGGCACTGACCTTCTACTAAAAAACATGTTGTACAGTTCAACTTCTCCAAGAGTAGCATCACATGGAGTTGAGTCATTTTTTTTTTTCACTCATCTTCACCATCCTCTACAAAACTTACGCCCCTCCTTCCTCCCCATGTGCCAACTTTCAGTTTTATAATGCCTTCCAGTATTAAGCCATTTTTTGGACCTTGTGCTAAGATGATCCAGCTCCATAACCCGGGATTACGATTTAACCCCAGACAGCAACTACCTACAACGCAGTTTCATTCACTCACTACCGCTCCTCTCTCCCTCCCACTGGGAAGTGGATGAGAACTGAAGGAAAAGACAGTATCAYGGGCGGAAAGAAGAACAGTTTAATAACTACAATGAAGTAAAATAGAATAATAATATAAGTAAAAAGAAATTATCACACACAAAAAAAAATCTCAGCCCACAAGTGATGCACAACACAATTGCTCACCACTCACTGACTGCTGCCCAGATTACCCCCCAGCAGCAACTGACCCCTCCCAGCCAACTCTCCCATTTTATATACTGGGTATTAGATGCCATGGTATGAAATGTCCCTTTGGCCAGTTTGGATCAGCTGTCCTGGCTATGCTCCCTCCTGGCTTCTTGTGCAGCTCCTCATTGGCAGAGCAGGGAAACTGGAAAGTCCTTGACTAAGGTAACAACAGGCAAAACATCTGTGTTATCCACATTATTCTCGTACTGAAAACAAAACRCAGCTCTGCACCAGCTACCAGGAAGAAAATAAYCTCTATCCCAGCTGAAACCAGGACATTTAGCAAAGAAGTATTTTTTGATCTGGTATTCTCACAGWTTAGTTAGTTGTAGTACCTTAGAACATTCTGAATGGAGCTTATACAGGGGAGGTGGAAAGTACACAGGTGAAAAAAACTGATTTTTTTTTTTTTCTTGGCAATGTCAAGCTGTTAAATCAGCTCAGTTATCAGTGTAGCATTACCTACAGAGCTATCACATGACAATATTTTATTAACAAAAGTAACAAATAATCCTGTCTAAATAAGATTGCTACAACCTGGYGGGCAGGTTGTTCAAAGCGATCATACCTAAAGGCAATAATAAAAACCTCTCTGCATTTTGATTCTTTCCTGCCTGCTACCAGGGAAAAGGAAGAAAACAAAATACCACAGCTAATTTCTGTGAATCTTATTTAACTGTCATCACTTGGACAAAAAATACAACATATAATAAAAATTTTTACCTTTTTGCAAATACATGAATATGATTTCATCTCCTAGTCATGTATTTTTAGTTTTTTTTTTCTTAATCCTAAATTCCTCCTTGAAGACAGCATGCCTAACTAGTTCAGTTCTTGCTTTTAAAACTATATATAATTCCACAGTCCATGTAAAGTTTACAGGTAAAGTAAAATTGAATTTCATGGTAATCATTAAGAAAGAAGCTGCATGCTTAAGACAACWTCTTTTGAGCAGTAGGAGTCACAGATCGTTCAAGCTCAATGAGTAAACCCAGGGAAATCAGGGAGGCAGAGAACAACGCAAAACAAAACAACTTTACAAAAGAAACCCAGCAGTACTGTGTAAAGTTCTGGGCTCTATTCTACAAGAGAGGTCTGAGAAAAATGGAGGGRAAAATGGTTTCTTTCTCTCTAAAACAAGAAAACATTGAATTTAACTGCTTTATCTGAAGAAAGTAAAAAGAAAATTGGAAGACATATGGCATGCAAAAGGCTGCTGCGTAAAATGAGAGTGATTTTCATGTCCACAGCAGCCAGGACAACTAAATTCATATTAGATAATAAAAATATTAAAAGAAAACACTCCCCCTTATCAAATCCTTTGTAACAGTAAGGGTAGTTAAGCAAGTGGTATTGACCAGAGAAGTTTTAGAATTATCATACAGATTTTAAGATAAAATATTAGCATGTATCAAGATTAACACCAACATAAATTGATTAGATTGGTGGATAAGGTATATCTCTTCTTGATATCCTTTCTCATCTCATCTTCCAATTCTGCATATACCATTTTAGAAATACATATAACTCTTATGACTAAGAGAAACAAAACTGTGCTCAAGTCAAAACATTAAAGTTTCAATACAATGGCATAAGTTCCTTGGTAAAGCCAGAGTCACAACTTTCCCATTTAAATTGCCCTCTTGGATGAAAAGGAGAACAGTGAGAGAATCAGAAACATGAAAACACAGCTACCAAGCAGATAAAATCAGGTATGATTCAGGTGATTTCTAAATTATATCATAGGTTAGAATACCTGAAAACGGAACAATGGAGATTTTAGATTCTCAGCAAACATCAGATAAGCAAAATATATTTATTTGCAGACATACTGAAGGTTAGCAACTGCATCACTTGCATATGCTGAATCAACATCTGACAAAAGACAAAAAGTGCCACTCTGGCTAACGGGCCAAAGAATACCAGCAATTGTAGCTCTTAAACCAAATTTGTAATCATCATCATTAAATAAAACAACTAAAATCAAAAAGAAGCACATGTGGTGGAGCAGACTGATCAGGTGCAACAAGGTTTCCTTTCTCAAAAAATGCACATGTGTGCATAATCTTACACACACATTTTGCTCTATGTTTACCTCTTTAAGAAACAAAGGTCACTAAACCTGGAATGGTGGATGATGTGGAGGAGAGTTCTTTGAAAGAGATGTTCTCAGACTGGTATCCACACAGATGAAGTTTAATCACCATTTCTGTGTGGAGACTGTGTGCCACAGCAGGACAGTCTTAGGACTGACTTCAATACTGGCAACTAAATGCCAAACACGCTGAGTTGCCACAGTTAACCTGAGAAGTGATGAGGTACGAATGAGACTGCTCCTATCACTGATCTTACATATGCCACCACATCAGATCTCAGTGCAATATATTAATCCCATGAATAATTTTGTTACTAATTTAAGTAATAAATACTGACTTGTGATTTCCAAAACAGATAAACTTAGAACTGCCAGTTCTTCAAAATTCTACCACTGATCACAGCATCCCTTTTCTCCTGCAAAATATGCTTCAGTTATATTTCAGCTGTCTTTGCTGGTATCAAATAACCAAGTAATTTTGCTAGATGGCTCTCTAGAAGACCTTCTTCCTTCAACTGCCCAGTAAAAGTGCTCTACAATCATCAAACTAAAAAGGAAATAAGGGAACCCATACATTTGCTATTTAGATATGGAAGGAATAAGAAAACAGTAGTGGAAGCTGAAGACTATGTTCAGCAACCAGCTGCAAACATCAAATGGGAACTTAGACTAGGCATTTAATGAGTTAAACACCACCACTCTCAAATCAGTTTGGGCAGTTTGAATATTGCACCAGTAAAGAGATACTTTTCTTTTAAGAAGCTTTTGTTTAAGAAGATGAAGTCTTTGAAGAAGACTTTCTTCTTTCACGGAAGAGTTCTCTGACAAGCTTTTTTCTGACTGAATAACTGAAAAAACCTGGTAGTGTAACACTTCTCAAACAAGCATTGTTCAGTACTCTGAAGCTGCAGAAGGAATTGCAATGGTGACAAATAGTAGTTTTGGTTAGTTGGCTTTTTCTGTTTTCACAGCAGCTCTTTTTCTACAAGAATTCAGAAATATGACTCAGAAAAAAAAAGAATGGAGAGACCAGAAGAATGCAAATATGGACTTGAATTCCAGTAAATATATGAATGTGGGGTAGGGATGAGAGAGAAAAAAGTSCGTAAAGTTACGGGGTGGGGCTTAGTACTTGGATCTGTAAAGTACTCTTTCCTGCAACAAATAAAGCAAATACTTTTCATATTCTCATAAGGAAAAACATCAGAACACAAGAATGTATTATTTATTACTTTATGCCTGTGTATTTCTTACAGATAACATCAAATATATGAGCATTCTTTTAAAAATTTTAATATAAAATTGTTCCAGATGAAACTGAAACTGGTTTACTTCTATTTGTAAAAATTGCTTCACTGAAGATATTCCAAAACCCAATTGTATATACACMTAAATCAGTAGTCTTATGCAGCATGTGTCTAAAATTAACCCTCCTCTTCACCAAACAAAAATCTGCAGGAGGAAGGAAGTTTAATTCAAATATATTACTTGCAATCTTGAAAAAGGTCAGTTCCCTGGAAAAATCACTGAGTTTCTTTCCTGTAGAAAAATATCACTTGCAAATTTTATAYCTGAGTTTGAATTGCAATACTTGCTCAATGTACTGCAATTCATCTTCAGGTCACAGAAAAACAATCAAAAAAGCAAACACCAMCTTTTTTTCTTAAATTACTTATTTCTACATGTAAAGTCACTACACAAAATCTTACACATGGAAAATTTTTGTTACAAGATGTTTTGTTTTAATGTAATACTTTCTATTAGCAGCAAACACAAGAAAGTCCCATGAAATGTAGCAAGGAAGTCAAATTATTTACATTTTAAAYGTGCTTCAGTGCTAGAAATGGTCTGAATATATTGTACAGCATAAGCTTAAAATATAAAGGTAGACTGAGTACTGTGTTCCAAGCAGACACACAGAGGTACACAGTGACACTACCATACTTTACATCTTGGACATTAATTTTTTCTCTTTATTATGATTAGTGGCACATGTTCAAAGAAATTCTCACTGAATTTGTCACTCGCAAATTGTCAAAAAAAAAACCCACTAGTATTTGTGAAGGTCCAYGAAGATAAATGTAAGCCAAATCTATTTTAACCTTCCTATCCATAATAAAATTTTTGAACTTCAAAGCACCTCCTACCACACCTTTTCTAATTTAAATAGCTTTTAAAGATACTCAAACAATTTTGGGGCAGGCCATAAAAATACAGATCATTTCATGCTGTGTTTGAATATACTTAATGCAAAATATAGGCTTGAGATTTTCAGTATTTCAGGAAACTGAAAACAACATTTCTCTGCTTTAAAACCTAGATCCTCCTGTTAATTTCTGGATACAGCATTTCAGCAAATGCTTTTGRCTTCTAAAATCAGACCACATAACTCTTGTATTAGAACTTTTAACTTGAAACATTCCCGACACAGGTACAGGAAGGCTAAGAAGGGCACAAAAAGATCTTTCAGTCACTAAACAGAGATGGATATAATTTTAAAACTTGTATCTACTTCCTCCTGGAGTCTGAAACAGATAGTAGTCAATACCAAATCCTCCACACGAAGGGAGAAATGAAYTACACAATTAGAACTATTGTGCAGTACAAGTTTTGCAAAAAAATATTTTTTAGGGTACAAGGTTAGATTAAAAAAATCCACCTATAATGTGGGCATTGGTAAAGAGCAGAAAGACAAGTAACAAGTTGTACCATAAAGAAGCTCAAAAAATGGTATGATTTTCTTTCTCCTAAATCCTGGTGACAAGGTCAATAATTCTCTAAATGCAAAAATGTACCTAAGTAGACATTAAGTAATAAATCTTACATGAATGAAGAAAAAAATAATTAAGACAATAACCCAGGTACTGATTTATGCAAAGCCGTGCAAGGTAAATAAACATAAAGCTAAGTACCTATTAATTGAGAAATACTATTAAACCACCATTTCAGAATGTTCTTCTAACCAATCCATCAGTATGATCTTTTTCATATTGGAGCTGTTCACATAATTCTTTTTTTATACTGCAAGAGTAACCAAAGACCCCAGTTAAGACCTTGACATGGCAGATGCTATCCAGCAACACAGACATGCAGAATTACTATCCTTAGTAGTATTGACTATTTTAAAAGTACATTAAAAACCACAGTACTTTCATTGTCGCATCGACTTTGGTATTTCTCTTTATATGTCCTAATTAATAAATCCCAAAACTGTCTTAAAAAAAATCAAAAAATAGAAAAGGCTATTCTAAAAAAATTCTATATTGCTCTAATCCAATCTTCATCCAACGCAAGATTTAAAAATACCTGCTGGGGTAGTTGTTGTATTTCTACTGTAGCACTGAACCTAAGATTACTCACTAATTTTCACAAAACCCTTGTTTTTCCAGCATTTATGTGATTTTCATTGCCTATTCCACCAAACTGATCAAAAATAAGCATATTAATCCTATCATATTATGCACGACACYCCTGCATGAGCGTTGGTGGATATGTACAGTGCATTCCAAAATCTGGTATTCTGCTTTAACAATATCATCATTTAGAAGCCTGTATATTTTACTACAGTACACGAAGACAGCCAATACTGAAAAGGGAGCTGCAACAGAGTGGGGAAAAGCTTCTCATTTAAATAGAAATCAACTCTTTTGACAGCATTTTTCCTAGTGGAGATACATTGGCCAATATAATAATTCACATTATCCATATTACTTTACAAAGGATACCTTGCAAAATACAACCTCTTTCAGCATGGCCTATGGGTTTGTTATGACAAGGAAAAAAAAAAAAAAAAAAAAAAGAAAATGCTGGTAGCATTTTACATAAGTAAAAAACAATTCTAGAATTTCACCAAATTTCATGCAACTTATTTTAGAAGTACAACACAGCTTGGCTCTCAAGCGCTTTCTGAAATTCTGTTTTCAAACAGTTGCTTGACAGCTCTAGAAAMACTGATGGCTTACAGGAGAAGGCCTTTAACAACCTCATCTGATGTGGCCAGTCTTACACTGAAAACAACCAGGTGCAGCTGAGAGCAGAAGCAAGAATTTCCAGATATCTGTCCTTTCTGTGCCATTCTTTCTTCCTCCTCCTACAAGCCCAAGGGCTCCCCAGCCCCAGCAGTAGCAGATTTCATTACTGGCAGAGTCYCTGTAGCCACTGAACCCCTAAGTGTACTCAAAGTGCTGCACAGCTGATCAGGATCTTTTGGGGACAACTAACCTTTTGGACTGGTTAAGACAAGCTTCATAGTGAGATGTGGTTAATGSTGATGAGCTGAACCACAAGAGGCTGCACAGCTCTTCCTGCCATTGCTTTATGTTCATATACTTATGAAATGTTGTTTCAGTACCTAAAGAGCTACCATCATTGCACAATATTTATGCCCCTTAGAAACCAATAAAATGTAATTTCAACAACTTCTAAAGCATTCCTTAATGACTAAACTTCAAACTGTACAACTAAGAGGTATCAAGAAAATATCCTTTTACTGAACTTCAGGATTTTTTTTAGTCACAGGAAAAATCATTTAATGGAGAAACAAATTCATGGTAACACAAAACTAGTCAGACTTGGAAACACAGTTTCAAGTATTTTTAATAATAATCAGCCCCTTTCAAATTATAAAAGCGTCAGAGTGACAAAAGATTATTAAACAGTTGCCCTTTCCTTTAACACAGGTTTATGAATCATGTAATAGTTGGTAAAGTTTTTTATTCCAAATTCGGAGAGAACCAAATGAGTAAGTACATGTATCACATTTCACCTGAAATCCTTTGATATACTCCCTCTACTTGGTATTCATTGAATTGAGTAGTGTAAAAAGGTGAAATTAGAGCCATTTCATCTGTAACTCTATTGAACTAGCAAGAGGAGGTTTTTCTAATTTAAGCTTATGTTGAAAATCTATACAGCCTCCCCAATACCTTTACTTAGACTGAAAAAACCTCATTGTTGACAAAAAGTTGATGTTACCCCCTGGATTGCAATTGTGCAAGTTCTTTTCCATCTCCTTCTATAAGAATTTCAATCCCAGGAAAAAGTAGCATAATATATTATAAAAAATGAAAGTATGTTCTGCACATGTGTATTAAATCACAACCAGAAAATAGTCAGCTGCATTAAGTATTTTGTTAAAAAGTCTTAAATTATATCTAAAATGCTAAAACCATTTGTCAGTATCATATAAAATAACTGTATTGCCTTGAAAGAAAGTATAATCCAATTAACACCTTTTCAGCCATTGACAGACTAGAGAATTTATAATAAATTGAAGTCAACAAGTCAAAAGACATTCAAAAAAGAAATAATCACTAGTCTTGATTAAAATTCTATAATATGAACAGCTRAAAATGAACAAAGCAGTGTCACCTCCTGGAATAACATTAGTTTCATTCCTTGTACATTGTACCATACAGTTAGAGTAAATATACCAGGGTAAATCCAGAACTCACCAATATTATTACTGTCTTTGAAAGGTTACACTTCCCCATCTTGCAATACTCTTTCATCAAACAGTTTTTAAAGRAGGAGATTTATTTTGGGGTAGACTTCAGTCCTACTGCTTTATTATTTTTAGACTATTTGACCACAGACAACATCTGGTATTTTACTTAAAATTATAAATCAAAAATTCTTTAGAAAAAATATCTTTGCTCGTACTTGAATTCAGTTCACATTTACATAAAAGCATTACAAAGTTAGATACACAAAGCAGTTTAAATGAACACTCACCATCAGCTTACCCTGATATACACATCTACTGAAGATTTCTCATTTTGAATTTCAGTAATCCTACTTTATCTGTCCATGACTTTTTCCAGACTGCACTGAAACTATGCCAAACTATGTTGAAATAATAGCTTCAGCATTTTCTATCCTTACTGCTAATCCTTTCCTTGACTTTAAACACACTTGCTTTTGGAAGCTGCTGCTGTTAGCCCTTGGCTTTAACACTCTGTGAAGAGGAATCCTGAGGAGTCAGCATGTTCTAACACTGAACTGGACAAGACAGGAGGACAAAAATGAGAATGAACAGAGAAGGAACAATGGCAAAAGAACAGGRTTCAGCCACCCATTTTTATCACCTAGCAATTCTACCAGCTTTAGGCAATACGTAATTGGAGCATAATCTTTTCTTACASAGAAAGTTGAAATATTTTAACTTTAATAAAATTAATCTAAAAAGAAATTGTGAAAGATCAAAAGAACTTGAAACTGCTAAAGGTAAAGGGCTCTATTGGGTATTTTATGGCCATGTGGCTGGGTTTTGGTAAGCTGAGGGGGCTTCAGGGCTAGCCTCTGTGGGGAGAGGCCAGCTGCTCTCCTGTGCCTGACACAGCCCTTTCCAGCTGGCTCCAACACAAACCCACTGTAGGCCAAAGCTTAAAAACAAACCTACTGAAGGTCAAAGCTGAGCCAAATTTGTTTGTGGGACCTCTGTGGAAACATTTAAGAAAAGGAAAAAAAAACACTGAACAGGCAGAAAGGGAGTAGCAGGGCAGGGAGAAGAGTGGAAAAAGTGGAAAAGCACACAGAATACCAAAGTCATAGGTGGAAGTGGTACTGCACTTCACCAGAGCACATATTCCCTGTAACTCAGAAAGGATCCAGAATGGAGGAGCAATCCCCTGCAACTTATGTGAGAGCCTAACCTGGAGAAAATGGGATAGTTCCTGAAAAAACTGGGCCACCTTTTTTTTTTTTTGGCTTCCCCTGAAAGACTGCAGCCCAAAAGAGGGAGCCCACACTGGGGCAGGGGCAAAATGTATGGATGAAGGAGCAGCAAGGGGAAAATTCAATGTACTTACCACAGCACACTGCCCCCCCCAGAACCCACTGCACTGAACAAGGAGAAAGAGGTAGAGGAGTTTAGGGTGTAGTAGCTAGGTTGAGCTTGGAGGAAGAAAAGGTGTTGTTTTGATGTTTGTCTTTGTCACTATCCAAATTTAGTTTAAATTTGCAATATATCAAATTTCTTTTCCCAGRTTGAGTCTGGTTTGCCCAAAACAGTAAATAGTAACAAATTTCCTCATCTTTGTTTTAATTCATGAGTTTCTCATCCTATTTTCTCCTTCTGTCCCACTGAGAATCAGAGCAAGTGGCTGTGTGGGGGTCTGGACTTCAGCCAAGGTATCCTGCCACACCAGTACAGGTGACTGTCAGAACAATCTTTTGACTTACTAGAAGGAGCAGCTTTCTTTTTTTTTTTTGGACTTCCTGAATCTTCCATTTCCGCCTCAGTGCTCTCACTGACYGCAGCTGCTGCCTTTCTTCTTCTCTAAAAAATAAAACAAAATAAAATTTAAAAAAAAATAGCAATTGAACTCAAAAGCAGGAAAGACCACACAAAGTAGAAAATATCTTACTCTCACAAGGTATTCCCTTGTTTTATATTATATATTAGAAAATGTCTCAAGTCACAGAGAAAATTTATTCCTATAGTAACACAATACTRGTACTAAGCAATAAGCAATTTAAAACAACAGTTCGCCTGTCTGCAGATGACTTTAGGAGCTGAAAGTTTAGTGGGTGAAGACATGAGGTTTTGTGATCATAACCTGGGTTTTTTTTAACTCACTTTGAATAACTGTTAAAAAAACTGTTAATCTGAAAATGTTAAAAAACAGATAAAAATATTTTACCCTAAGTTCTTATTAACTGGGTTTTTTTCTAAAGCAATTACACTACATTAAATTCAAGTTTATCTGGACCCTTGCTTCTTAAGGCTTTCTTTGCACAGGTTAAAAGTAGCTGAGGTCTACTGACAGTACTTTTTTTTTTCCTAATAGCAACTATGATTTCTGTTCCAAAGAGAGGTATYCGGGAAATCTGAACTCCATTCAAGATACATTATCCTAAAACCTCTAAATGGATAGAACTCTYATTACCTGTGTATTACAGTTAATCTTACTATTGCAAAGTATTCCTGAATTGRTTATGGAAAATTATTGTTTTAAAGCCTTGAGTTTTGCAAAGGACGAACTGACCTGCATCAGGCATACATGAAAAGCAATGAACACTGGAAGAGTTTTACCTCTCCTTTTTCTTCATTTATTTATTTTTTAATTGTGTGAGACCAGAGCTTTACTAATACAGCTTTAAAAGTGCCTAAACTTCACACAGCTCATGAGAGAAGGGGAGAGTGCATTACATCTTTCCTTTCCAAAGTGTTGCTTCATGATTACCATCTAAACCCTGCTGGGCTGAACAGATTGGTTCGATAATTACATACAATAACTGCAGTGGGCAGGTAACCCTCAGCTGGCACAGGGCAGCTCCCCTGTGAGAACTTCCATATGCAAACTGCACTGATGGAGTGCATTAGGTACATCTTTCCTGCCGGTGCACAGGCCTGATTACCGCCAGCCAAGACTCCAAGGTTAGCATGTCAGCAGATTTGTGATGCATTAGGCAGGAATAAACACAGACACTTTTGTTCATTCTGACCAAAATTAAGGAGGACTATTTCAGCACTGTACTGCTTTTATATGAGAGATAATGCATTCCTCTCAATTGTACTAGGAAACATTTTAAACGCTCATCAGAAAAACAGATATTCAATACACGTTACACAAAAGCAAAATACATTTATCTTGTTTCCAAGCTTATTTAATAAAATGTGGTTTCTTAATCTTGATGCAGGTGAATTACATAGCAGTAGAAATCAGGCAGCATTCATCTGACAAAAGCAACACCTGCACGTCTGAACCTGAACATTACAAGGTTCAGATGTGAACCACAAATCACTAAGATCTGTATTTTTCYAGGCTACTTAACTCCCAGTATTTCCCAGCAACTCTTCAGCACTGAAAAACAGTAAGATGTGGTCCTTGCTCTAAATAATTTAGTCTAGAGTTTGAAATACTTCCTTCAACATGTGGTATTGCTAGCTTCTTGTTTGGCTAGAACTACTATAGAATATCACACTCACAAACCAACATGTGTTTATTACACGAAAAAAAAAACCTTGAGCACCACTGTAGACTGTGTTTAATTTACTTATACATCTGGGGAAACTTGAGTCATGATATAGAAAATAAAATGCTAACTTTTAATATAGCAGACATCTGTAACTTTTACCCAGATACCAATACTGGAGAACGAYTGAGATTCAAGAACGATGCTTAAATGCAACATATAATGCCTAATATGGCTCAATTAGCTGATAGCACAGGAGAGTCCWAAATTCTAAGAAGGCATTTACACAGAAGCTATGAAACAGCATAGCTTCAGAATATCAAATAACACTGTTTTAAGAAAATATTATGGTAGATTTATTATGGTAAATGAAGAATAGGTGTGCTGKGACTAAAAGATCAGTTGAGCCAAAATGTCATAGATATTATGTATTAGAGGTCACAATCTGCCAGACAACATTTTTCGTTTTCAAATTAGGCATTAAGCAYGCCAAGCAAAATTCAGCACATGACAGAAGACTCTGGCTTTCAGCGGTAAGATGATTCTGATGAATGGCAAATTATTTTATGGCCAGTAGCTTGGAATTCAGAGCTTATCTTTAAAACACTAAGTCATCTTCCACCCTAGCCTATAGTGCAGCTGCTACRTCTACAAAATCCAACACAGAAGGAAGAGTCCTGGTGTTTGGTCAAAAGCAAGAAGATTATGTTAACCAGATGTCCATCAATGTTATTGAGCCTGGACACTCCAGCAGTAGCTGGCATGAAATGGCGTCAAGTCCAATGAAATGTGAAGCAGACAAAACACTTACTCAAGTGCACCAGCAGTACTTCCTGTTTTATCCAAGTGCTTGAACACATTTGTGACAACTGAGCAAGCTGACCATGCATACGGTTCTCAAAGTATATAAAAAAAAATTAAACCCAATGAAAAGGCTTACTTCTATTTGATGTCAGAAGGTAAGAACCTATGGAAAAGTATTATCCCATCCTTAGGGAATTGTCTTGACTCATACAGGCTAAAAAATAAGATTTTTAAAGTTTTTATTCCATTGAAAATGTGCACCAGACATCTCTGCTGGACAAGGACATTAAGGTCACAGATGCTGGCTCTACAGCAGGCCAATTTATTTAGCAAAGAAACCAGCCAACCATTAAAAACAGTTGGTTTTTTTTTACCAAAATACAGGTCTTAAGCCATACCAAACCACAGGGGAAGCAGAACTTACGCTATCAAACTCTCCATTTGGACAGACCCCTTTACACTCAGTTCAGCAGAAAATATTAGTATAGAGACCACAGCTGTATGATTTTAGCCAAAATAGTATTTACTGAGCAAAAAGATCTAAGAAAAGCTGGACATATATCTTCAAAAGCCTTTAGAACYCTACAGCTTTTTTTTCCCTGCCTTTTCCCCATCTTTAACACACTGCTGATCATGTCAGTAAGTAGGCAACATACTTGTACTATTATCCTGTATTATAATTCTTAGTTCCCTGGTTCATGCTAAAGGAACCAATAAACAGTCCACCTGCTATTAACAAATGTAAATATCGAAGTAATAAATGTAGTTTGAAGTAAAACATAAGAATTACTGTTCCATTATGTGACCACCTTTTTTATGGCTATAAGCCATTTTAACATACACTTTCCCTAAACCTTACAAAGTTCTTAATGCTGTATTCAAATGAGAATTCAAACACAGACTTCTTAAATACAATGAGTAAAATACCCCTAGCCTACCAAAAAAGTTAAGACTCAAAAATAACCTATTAGATCACAGTGAAATCAATATGTGAATTCCAGAATCAAATACTTGGCATAAAGATGCATGCTTTAAACTAAGCTTTGAAATAGTCATGGAAAGGAAACTAACATGAAACAAAAACTAGACTAATTTTACCTTACATATACTTTGATCCATCTGAAGTTTCACCAAWTTAAAGAAATAAGTAAATTAACCAAATGATCATCTGTTCAAATGTCATTTCATCTCGGTATACAAATTTTATTATCCAAGGTACTATCTATTATGAAAGTACCCCCATAAACATAATTTTGCATTGTTTTATTAACGATTCGTGAAGCTGAATTAGAGAAATAACATGTATAACTAAAACTTAAAACATTTCCCTATTTAATTATTTGCTAGTGGATGAAGTTATGACACCTACTTCCAACTCCACTAACTCTTACATAGCTCAACAAAATGCAATATAAGCTGATATGAATTTTTAGAGTAAAACCTTTCGTACAGGATTTCTTTGAAAGTCTCCATTCTCTGCCAAGCCAAAGTCAAGGACTCCATCATCCTTCTGTCCAATGGCCTTAAGACCTTGCAGAAGTATTTCTCGGAAATGCTGATAAACAGGTTTCTCTTCATAGCTCAGTAGCTTCACCTTTTCCATATATTTGGCTATTTCACCTAAAGAAATGGCACCTCCATATAATTTCTGTTTTGCAAACATTTAACTCACTTTTACTACAAAAGAGACAGAAATTATGCATGCCCTAATTATGCTATTTTTGAAATGGTTATTTATAAACTCATAATAATTATGTCTGTATTACAACACATTTTATAAAAAAATTACACTGAGGTTCATTACCCAGTGATGACAGCATCACTGTTTTTTACATGTTTATTGCAATGAAGAAAACAGTCAGTCATAAAAAAATGTAATAGGCCAATTTTCACCAGTGAATGCTTATTAACATGGTATTTCTTATGTCTGTATTTAAAAATGTGGAAAAGGAAATTCAATGTTATCTCAGAACTTCATCAATTCAAGACTGAAACATATACTAAATAATGCATGAAGCATTAGACCACTAAAAAAAGAGACAAGACACTTAACAGAGAAAACTCTGCTCTCAACCAGAAGCAATGCAGTGTCTATAGTGCATATAACTGCAGCCAAAAGGAAGAGTCCAAACTTCTCTTTAACAACAATCTAATTCAYGTCATTTTGTTGTTCATGATTGAAAGGAAGCATTAAAATAGGTACAAAGTTCAGTAAAAACGTATTTTAAATAAACCTCTTACCTGGTTTATTYTTTCCAGGAAAGCATTTGTCCATCAAAATGGAAATATTATCTCTACATCTGAAAAACAAAATGATTCAGAATTACTGTTTCTTTTGAATTTTCCACCTTGTCCTGTTCTGATAAACTTCTTAAGTAACCAGTTTAGGCCACTGTCAGAGGCAGGAAACACTACTATGTAAGCCTGTGGTGTGACTCATTACAGCCATTTGGAGGTGTACAGCACATTTGAGAACCCGAGGAATGGCAGATGGGCTACCTGAAACAGTTTTTCATTCTTATAAAAGCAAGTAGAAGACTGAAGGAAAAGAACTCATATACCATTGATAAAGAAGCCAAATACAAAATATTTGTTAAGGAGACAGAAACTGCTGTGCTGGGACAGCTCTCTTCATATTAAGTATCTGACAAGAGAAAGTTCATCTCAGCTGAGGGGAAAATGAAGGCATTGAGGCTGAGGGATAAAATGAAAAACAATTTTAAAATCCCATAACACTAGTGCTCTTGCTGGAATGATGCTCAAAGACACTTAAGATTCCCCTTTAGCCTTCATTTCTGCCATTGGCTTCAGAGGATGGTGTTAGAGATGCAGACTCCTCAATTCTCTTCCTGTAAAGCACGACTGATGGTTACCTGCATCCGGCTAAGAGTGATTTTGTCTTCAGCATGGCAATTCTAAAATGACAATACTGCAGTGGAAAAATAAACACCTCATAAACACAAAAGAAGACAGCAGAACAGTACAAGTGAAGTTTAATTACAAGTCAAGGATAAATGAGACACAAAAATTGGGGGTATACAAAACAATAGTTTACTCACCAAAAGGGAACACACTGAAAGTACAAAGCATTTCAACAGTAAGTTTTCCTTTTCAAAAGAAAGAAAACAAGTAGTTTCTCACCTAATTTTTGAGTCTCTGACAAAATTTGGATCTTTCAAGTTATCTTCCCACGGTAGATGACCACTAAGCCAATGAATCATACAGTAACCCAAAATCTCCAGATCACCACGTCTCGAAGGTGCTAAATACATACACACACATAAAAAAAACAACCGTAACATCAGCTACTAAAGCATACACAGTTAAACAACAGTAAAAATTTATAAATAAGTTAAGACAATCCTAACAATGTAACACTACTGTATCTATTACTTATGTCTTTATTTTAGCAGGAAAGCTAGGAAGGAAAAAATATTGTTCCTACATCTGGAAGGATCACTTCATTTTCAAGTCCTTTATTAATCTCTCCTATTCAAAGACATGACATGCTGCAGTTATCCCAATTTGGGAAGCTTTTYAAGTACTCAGGTTGTGGAAAAAATAGAACAAGTTAGTGAAGTGATTGACTTTCTCTTCAAAATAGTTTTTACTTCCCTTCTTCTATAAAAAGGTAAAAGTGCTGAACCCCCACCTCCTGAAAAAAATACTCCACAATGCTGAACTATTTTATGTGGCCTGAAAACTGAACAGAGGACTGTATGAGATCATCTTCCTAAGCCTTCACAAAAAAACCCCACACATTAATAAGCAACCACAAATAAAACCCCGAACCAAGCAACCCACACATACATTGACCACAAACTGCACTAGAAGTATAAATAGGAAGATCAAGTCACYTTTGGTTATGTTCAGCTTTAAGTATATGCAAGTGAATAATCATTTTCAGTAACTGTTATTTTTGCAGAACACCCTTTTAAGCTAATAAAACAAAATTTAAAAATTAAGGAAATGAAATTGGTATTCACTATAAATCATCAATGATTAATCAGACATAGACCTTTCTTTTGCATATTCAACCTTTTCTCACTTCTTGCTTTTTGATGTTCAGCRACCAAAGGCATAATTAATTAATTAATTAAACTAAGTTTTTTGTGCTAAAAGAAAGAATATTTTCACATTGATAACAGCAACTACTTTTCTCCTAAAAACAGGACCTTTTTTCCTATCAAGATCTCACAAGCACTATTCGATTTCTACTTGGTCAATAAAAAGCAATATGTTGAACCTCACAAATTAAGGAGCTCTAGTTAAGAAAGTTACACTAAAAATAYAATTAGTAAAAGTTAGTAACTGGAAAAAAAGAAAAATGACAGCATAGCACATAAAGAACAAAAACAAAAAAAGGAAAAACATTTTTTTTATCAAAAATCTGGTCTATTTGCTGCACTGAGTTTTGTTAAGTATTTTATTTTTTAAAAAAGATACACAAATGCCTGTTATTGAGTTTTACATCCTTACCCACACCCTTGTGTGCATCAATACTGGTATATTCAATTGTTCCATCATGGCACCTTTTGGGATCTTCTTTATATACTTTGTGAACTCCTTCAGGACAATATCGGTAAGCAAGTCCATAATCCACCAAGTAYACCTAGTAATTTCCACAAAGAATTCTAAGGTTAAAGAACCATAATTACAAAGGTTAAAGARCTATAATTACAAAAAATATGTAAACAATAAATGCAACTCCCAACTATTTTCATAACTTCTTTGAAAGTATTAAGAGTGGTGAGTTCAACTCTGAATGATTTTAAGTACTTTATTAATTTTAAATATGATTTGGAAACAACATGTCACTTGGGTTTTACTGTTTTCCATAAAGCAGTCTGACCTGGAATTCATTTCTTGCTGATACAGAAAACTAGTACAATAGTCATCAAAAAAAAAAAAAGAAAAAAAAAAAAAAAAAAACAAAAACCAAACAAACAAAAAATAAACCCAAAAAACCTAAGAAGTAAAAAAAAGAAGTAATGTCCCTAGAATTATAAAGACACTCACTGTGCTACCCTCTTTAAAGTCAGTAGACCCATTTGAACAATACCATATACTACTACTACTCACTAACAAGATAGTTACTTTAAGAGAAATTATTTTACATCTTTCACGAGCTAAAACATTTGGGCAAGAATACATACATAATTCTGAAACTCTAATATGCATTGTTTGAATAGCAAAGAGAGTTAAAAATGCAGAAAAATGAAAGACTTCTGTAAATCAAGTGGAACAATCAACACTTTAAAGACCAATTTTTCCAAGTAACAGAACACTTATCTGATGGATTTCTTGAACAAAGGAATGAGGTAACAATGCAGACAGGCAAACATAATTTACCAGTGTGATATATAATTTTAGGCTTCCACCTGCAAATACCTATTTGTGAGTCAATTTTTTTTTTAATCTCAAGAATTTCTCTAGAATGCTATTTAGGCCAAATAGTCAATTGATAACTGTCCAGCAAAATGCACTAAAAAAYTGTAGAATATTAACCAGATATAAATGTCAAGCAGAAATAATGTTACCATATACATTCTTAAAAATGAGCTTCTGCTAGATTTCACCGGTTCAAAGCATTTTCATTGTTGCCAAATAGAAGGGTTAAAACATGAGGAGTAAAATGCATTATAAATACCTGATTAGGGTTCTTGTAACTCAGAAGGAGATTAGCGGCCTTGATGTCTCCATGCACGTATTCATGCTCATGGACGTATTCCAGAATCTCAAGCTAACAAAACASAAGTCATGTAAATGCAGTACCGAGGTCCGCCCAGCAGAGGACCTGGACTCGGCACAAAAGTGGGACTGAACTGAGAGACTCACACAGGGAAGACAGACTGTGAAAATAAAATGTATTTTTTAAACTTACTATTCTCAGGCCTAATTGTAGTACAGTTTTACGGGAAAATTGCTTTGCATTCTCTTCATACATCTTCTGAAGATCTCTGCCAAATCGGTCCATTATCATAAATCGATAGCTAAATTCAAGGACCAAAAGAAAATAACAAAACCAAAAAAAACCAGCAGTTACTGACTTGTACTTAGCAAAGTATTTTATCTGTGTTAAATGTACTAACTAATGATTGAACACATCTCTCAAACTGTGGGAAATACTTGACTTTTTTTAATGCTGTACATCAATTCTTACCTTTTCTACATCAGCTACTCAGAAGTTCATCCATCAAAAAGCTGTTCTTTATTCTAGTTATGCAGCAAAATAACAAGCACTCACAGAGGAAAACATCCCTAATGTAACTCACTATAAGCAAAACCAAGAATCATCTACTCACAGAAATATATTTCTTAGTTTATAAACGACTAAGTGGTTTAACGTGGTTACTTACAATGTTCTTTTACTGAAATCTATTGCAATGTTCTTTTACTGAAATCTATTGCAAACTTTTTTGACCACATATAAACGTCAAGCTTTTTTGACCAGATATAAATGTCAATGTTAACAACAAAAGCATTTCACTTGCCAAACGTGTTCTGATATTCATTGCTATAGCCAAACTCGTTATAGAACTAAAAGAGTTCATAGTGGCTATATTAAAAAAATTCATGCACTAAACACTGAATGCAAAACCACTTTTGTGGGATAGAAAAAAATGCTATATTTACTTTTGCCTCTCAAAATGAATGTTATTTTTACAATAGGTTCGTTTTACAGCTGAGGACCTACTGAAACACTGATATTTCTGACATACTAATGCACACACACCAACTGCCCTAGGCAGTGATCCACAGAGAGAAGCCTGACCTACTGTAAGCTGCCAAAGAACTATTAAAACTCCTTTGCAGCACAGCTGTTTAGAAAACCACCACTAGGAAACAAGGGCTATTACATAAACAGGCATTAACATTAAAGACCAAGTAACAAAACCCTTTCCTGGCATGGAACAAYACTAAAAACTACCCCTTGACTTAAATTTAACATGAGACTAGAAATTATTATAGCTCACAGGTTAAGCAAAAAAGAAAAACAGGGAAACAGAACAGATTTGAGACAACACTAAGTCCTCAATATTAGTGAGTGAAAATACGCTTTAGCCAACAYGACAAGAAAAACTTAAAAGGTAGTCATATTAGTCCTGACTTGTTCATTAGAAATTGACGTTGTTTTAATTAAAATATAAAAGCTTCTAAAGCACATATACATAAATAGCATCTTTGTATTACAGCAATGTTCACAACAAGCGAAATAAAGACTGTAACAAAYACAAATAGGAGTACCCAAACATTACAGATAAAATGTATCTATGTATAGTCCCTAAACACACCCTGCCAGGAACATGAAAATTTGTAGCCAAAGTGAACAATGCGAAAAAAAGTGGAAAATACACCTTATAAAGTAGAGCTTAGGCTAAAGGAGATAATGGTTGTAGACGAATTCCAGTATATRTCAACGAAAGATATATTCACCTGTTTCCATTCCTTTCATGCAAGCCAGAACCCCAATATCTTGGTACACCTAAATATTTCAGTTTATGGGACTTAGTCCACTTCTGAACTGAAAATACAAATAAAATTAGGATCATGAATTGGCATGAGTAGAGACTTACAAAAAAAGGAGTAGTCACATGGCTTACAGTGTCTGCATACCTGTGAGCTTCTTATTTCACAGAAATGTGTATGCAAAGTATACAGGAAAGTTAAACACATATCCAACAACTCAAGTTTAAATTTAGACAGTAATACCAACAGAACTACAAAGAACTTTTTACCAAAATCCTCTAATTTACTACATATCTGAATTAGATTTCAATAATTTAAAAATATTTCTGAAAATTACCTAAAGATATTCTCAAAGTTCAACCTTCTACAGGCTCTATTTTCCTAAATGCTTGTAGTTCATTAAAAACATTTTAATAGACTGCTTACTTTCATCTGGCTTAGCAGCTCTCATGTAGAACTTTAACTCAGTAAAAAGAGGTCCATTCTGGCTGGGTTCCTTTAAGACAATTTAAAATTCATTAAAAACTGCTGTGTTAATGCTTAATAATTACTAAAAGCTCACAAAATGTAACATTCACCCTATAAAAATATATTCTCYCTCAAAAGCTCTACCTGATGCTGACAAATATAACAGAATATCTCCTTTTTATAAAAGAAATTTAGTTCTAAAAGCTATTTTTATTATAAATTGCTTTACATTAAGGGTATCAAAGAATAATGCCCCATACAAAAGACTAAATAAAATTGAAATGTATAGAAATAGTAACAATTATTGGCAGAAGTTTAGTAGAGAACATTAAACAATGTTATGTCAGATTTTCCAGATTACAGCGGGATTGCATCAGTTGCAGTAGCCTTTAGCGATCTTAAAATAACACCTGAAATGATTTAATGACAAAATTTAATAAAAGTTAAATTCTAGCTGAACATAAGGCATTTTGTTCCTTTCATACATTAGTCAACCAAGATAAAAAAACCAGAGAATTTCAAAATTTCTCTAAATTATAAGAACTAYACCTATTTCGATTTCAGACTCTATCCTGTATTTAATCTATCTCAGTTCCATTTTCAAGGGACAAATCTATGGGAGCCATGTAAAGTATAAGTCCAAGAGAGAAATTCCTCTGAAAACATCAAAGCTTTGACATACTGCAAAAAAAAGCAATGCGCAAGTATCTTTACTACATTTCCAGAATTTGGTAGAGAAAAATGAAAAAAAAAGTGATCTCAATTCCTATAATTTTTGGTTGATCGATTTTGTGATGAGCTTAAGCAATATATTTTTGTCTAGTTACTCATATATATCCAAATTCACTTCAACTCAATGTGAAAATACATTTTGGAATATCCTACAATTAAAAAATWACTGGCAAAGAAACTCAAGAATAATAGAATTACATGACATTAGGAAAAGTTACAATATTAAATGGGTTMGTTTTAACTTTTAAATGAAGATATAGTGATCCAGAAAATTCCTAAAGGCCAGACTGTAGCTGAGAAGAGGCTCRCTGCTGTCCAAGCTCACCGGAACAACGCAGAGCACAAACGCGCCCCTGACCGCAGGCTTTGGTGCGCTCTGATGTACGGGCTTGGAGGCACAGCTGGAAYATGGGACACACTGAGAGCAGACACCACCAGCCTGGGCACCACTCCTAGGCCTGGACACTTGGTTATAAAGTCACTGCCTATCTCCAGCTCACTTTCTCCAGCAGCACTGCCCTGACAAACAATGGAGCCAAGACAGCTTTCTGGCCCTCTCGTGAGAAGGAACCAGGAAAAAAAAACCAAAACCTAAGACAGTCAGACCAACGAATCAACACACACAAACTTTGGTACCTGTACATCTACTTTCACAGTTAGTTTTATTTATCCACAGTGGACAACAATTTAGCAATACAGAGATTATATATGCAGAGAAGAAGGGTTAAATAGCTGAATTCTTTTATTGCAGTTACCTCAAACACACATTGCTTGACCTATTCACTTGATCCTGAGTAGCATAATCTATTAATATCCTAACTAATTAGAATACAAATTATCTTATATATCATTTTCATTCAATTTCCATAGGTTTGAAAAATGTTTTCTTACTAAAATGCAGTAAAGCAAGTGTTAAAAATTCTTACAATATTTAACTATAAACAAATTATCCCACAAAAATTTATGTCTCAGTGCTGCAAAAGAGATGTATCTTTCACTAGTCAGAAAGAAAAATCTGCTATCTTTTCATACTCAGAGAATGGATAAATGATCTAATCATAAACTAGATCTTTAATGTTGATTATGAAGGTGTTTTCCCACAATACCATTAATTCTACTTACAGATAAATAAATGCACATGTGATGCTAAAAAAGTTTACACAACATCCAATGTTCAGCATAATAGTCCAGAAGAAGTGCAAACACAGATTTTTATAGCTTTATGCCCAAGGTCATTCAAAATACACGACTTATAAAACTGAAATTAAAGTCTTATTCAAAAAGATAATGTAATGAAAGATTATATAGAGTATATGTCAAAACCCAACAAATTTCAAGCAGTGTTTTAAGAATTCTGATCTTTTCAGTCAGCAATGTAATGAAGTGTAATTAAACCCTGCATCTACATCCTGAACAATGACATCTGAAAGGTCCACATGTTAAAAAGCATTTCTTTTTTTAATAAAAACTGTGATTCATTTCATACTCCACAGACATCAATACTATGAGGATATGTCAAAGACTAAGCCAATTTCCATCCCACTTTAATAGCTTAATTTGAGGAACATTACTATAGAATCACATATTTTGTTAAACACTAATAGTTGTTCAAAGCTGTTAACCGCTTTGCTTCAGCTGATGGAAAAACTCACAACCACCCAGGCATCAGAAAATGAGCTCTTATCCATGGTTGTGTTATACCAGACTGTAGAGGCATAATATGTTATGGGTCATTTGTGAGGCTAGCACAAAGACTGGGGCTACTCTTTACTGCCATAAAGACAAAACTATGAAAGTCAAATTAAAAGTGAGTAGTCATTGGGGATCTTAGCAATGGAGGTATTTACAAAATGCTGCAACAAAGTGAATCTAGCATAGGAGCAACCCAAAAGTTGCAGCAACTCTTATATTTAGAGCCCAGAGTGGAGAGAARCAGATGGATAGGTTTCAAACTCAGGAATAGAGGGGGCAGCAATTACACACAATATAAAGTAATGCATATGTGATKATTTTCCCAGCAAGTCAAACCTGATTCTTCCATGAAAGTTATATGACTCTCTGCTTCTTGATTAGTCAAAACTCAGCAGGAGCCAGTAATTAGAAGCGTYTGCCTCTCACAGGCAAACCATTGCTGATGGTCTCAATGTCTGTTATCTGCCACTAAACCAGGCCACAGCTCCTGCATGATGGACACTCGCACCCTCCACAGTACAGACTGAACATACTAACGCAGGTTGCCACCATCCAATTGCAGCCTGGGGCTCCTGGTCAGTGYGGAATTCCTGCCCACTAATGCAGCAGCAGGCTGATGTTGAGAGTGTGACAATCTGGCATTTGCATGGCAAACACTGCTTTTTTCAGCAAGGGACAACCTTTCAGAGGGAGGGTCATCACAAACTGTATCTTGGGGTGCCTGAAAACTATTAAAACCAGTATTCTAAAATTTCCCTTTAGTCAGCAGATGTAAATATCAAGATTAAAGGCACATACTGACCAGACTGTATTGTACTGCAATTTAACCTAATCTTTTAGTTTTAGGAACAAATGTTAAAAGCACTAACACATTTACAAAGTGGCCAGCTACTGCAGCAAAGCATTCAGTATCATCATATAGTTTAATAAATAAAATGTTAAAACAGTGAAGTTTTTACACTGTGAAATTCTTGCACAGTTTTCTGATATTTGCTTTAATCGAAGGAACAGAAGTSCCACCAAGATAATGAATGGTATGGATATACTAAGGCTATTCCCATATTCTCTGTTTTTTTAATAATCCTTTGTAAGATCTTACCAGATCCATACAAAATACTCTGGCAACATTTAAGAAAAAAAACCTTTATACCTTGTGAAAAGAAATAGCCAAATCAAATTAAATAACCCTTTTTTTAGACTAAAACCATAAGAAAATTTCAAGTAATAAAAAGAACTTGCCAAATTGCTACAACAGGTTAAAAATGAGCTATCAACAATGCTTTTTCTTCTCTCTAATCATTAGGTTAAAATAATTGTGTCAATATTACTTGAATTCAATAGAAATTAGAACACATGTTCGGTTTATGAAAAAAACATTTAAAGGACTTTGTATCTATGGAGACCTCAGGAATCAAAGTTTTGCTGTTTCTAGTCAGGAGCCAACCGTCAGTTTTATAGCATCCATTGGTGAGCAACAGTTCACACAGACTCACTCTTGAATCACAGAAATCCTCCAAAAACTAGACAGATTTCATTCATTTGGTGATATCCTAAGTGCCGCTYATAGGAAGCAAGTGAAACAGAATCTGATCCATTTCATGGATCTTTTTCAACTTCACTAATGTTCCATTATGACATTTCTCATACACAGGAGTCCCAATTCTMAGCAGCATTCCTGTGTATCACCACACTTGTATTATAAACAGCATTTTGTAATTGCTTTATTTTCAGAAGACGTTTTAAATTACACATGCTACTCTAGAACAAATRTTTTCAAGTTGTGAAGTAAAGATTCAAATGCTCTCTTACCACTTTCGCAACATAAGGGGCATCACTGCCAACCGACTTTGAAGAATTAACATCAGCTGTTAAAAAGGAAGCTTTTATTAGCAGTAAGAAAGGAAACTGTCACAAAGCATACACTCACTATGCAGRATAACTATACAACATATAACAAAGTAACTAAGTACTGACAAGAACATAGATCAGTACCTTAGCTGTTGRTAAGAGAATCACTCTATATGGAAAGGCAACTGTATACCAATATTAAATTCTTGCCTTCTCCCTTCTGTTTGAGGAGTACAGGCAGTTTACTAAATTAAAGAGCTCTTTATTATCCAGTAACTTGTTCCTATTCAAAAGGAACAAAAATTCCTATTCTTTTGTTTTCTAGGACTGTTACAAACATACACATTTGTGGACATAAAGACAAATAAATACCATGTTGCCATGTCACATATCCAAAAGTGACTTTCTTCTGCTACTCAATTTTTGGTATTTGTGACAGAAGATAAAGGTATGAAGAACATCAAGCCAAGTACAAAGTACAGGGTTAGGGTCACAGCTTTGTGCAAATGATGGGTAAGCAGAGAGCAAGCTCTGGCTTGATCAAAGCAGGAATTCAAGTGAGTTGGAACTCCAGTAAATTTAGTAGCTCATTGAGCAAGGCTGAATAAGTAGTTGAAGGCTTCTTTGGCAAAAAGCCACCCACTGGTCCTGTTTTTCTCCTTAACCCACTTATGCTGCAGTCTGTTCATTTTAAAAGCAGGACAGATTTTTTTCCTGTTTTCCAACTCAGTATGAATCCAGTAAAACCTTTTCCTCAAGATGATGAAGATCATATTATAATGATCACATGAACTTTCATCCCTTCAAAATTGTTTGAAAAATGACTAGGGGCAATGAAGCAGAAACATCTCAAGACCTCTGTTATCTGTTCATCTGYCCAAGTAAAAGAGATACTAAGTATGGAACACTATTCACTTTAAGTTTTTCTTTTAACAGCATTGCAAAACAAGACCTGAACCGAAGCTTTAAACTGTAAAGTTCAACACTTCGATTTGTTTTTAGCATTGATTACATTAAAAGAAAGAATATGACAGTCAAAAGTTCACAAGGTAATGAAAAAATTAAAGCAATACCAAAGTCAAAACCAGCTCAAATACTGGCTSATCAGTAGCCTCCAGATAAAAAGCACAATTTCAGTTCTGAATTTGTCTTTATAAAGATACTCATGCAAAAATCCAGTCTTTCAGCCAGACCAAAAGTCAAATTTAAATAAATATTAAACTATCCTTTCCATGGCTAAAAAGTAATAAAGATTTTGATTTTTAAAAAGAATGAACTACCACTGGAAACTCATACTACTAGTTTTTATAATCACTATTTGTCTATGTCATTTTTTTTCCAACACTGAGACCCAAGCTAAAGTTCTAGTAAAAGAGATCACATGAAGACCCTTCATATTTCTAACTTAGGGTCAACTTTTCATTGTTTTGAATGAGGATCAACATCTCACTCTCCATTTCAAAGCATTATAAAAGATAACTACACTTACCAATGTATAGGCGTCCAAAGCCTCCCTGCCCTATAGGAGCACCTAATTTCCATTCTTTTCGTGATGTATCTGCTAGAACCTCCCCCAGAGCAAACACTTCAGCAAGTTTTCTCTTTGCAGGGGCTTTTTTCCCAGCCATTTTCTTAYTATTTGGCATTTTCCCTAGAGAAAGTAGAGGGAAGGAAAAAAAAAAAACTTAGGTTACATGTTGATCTCGCTTATTTCATACACACAGAAATCTGTTAGAAGCACAAAAGAGAATGGGTTGTTTAAGTTATAATTTGTTACCTCAAAGATACTTGAAAAGAAATGCAGSAAGCAGTTTCATTGGCATGAATTCTAAGTGAGAAACAACTAATTTTTTCAGGTATCACAAAAAAATTTGACAGCAAAAACCTTCACAAGAGAAACCTACTACGGGATCTTGCATAATACATGCTAAAAAAGTCTCAGAATCTACCACCTTCAATCAATCACAACCCATCAAAGGTCTAAACTTAGAAAAAAAGTAAACTAATGAAATAAAGCTCATCAATTTTCCTTAAAATTGCATATTAAAAAACTGCAAGTCTTCAGTAGTAATATAAGGAATTCCTCTTAGCTGTAAAAAAAAAAAAAAGTCATTAAAACAGTTAATCATTTTTTCTTCTATACAGCTGCAAGAAAAAAAAGAATGAAAGTCTGGTTATTGTTTACAGGGCAGYATTGAGTAGGCCATCACAAAAACTAGTACATAACCACCTATTTTTGAGATCCCAAGTGTGAAAGTATTACAGTTACCTTCACACAATCCCAGATATCTTATTAGCAATATTTCTAGAAATAACATAACAGCCCACTGAAATACGTCCTTCTCTGCAGAACAGAATCATAGAATCTTATAATAGTGTGAATTATTCACACTATTTCAATGTCATCTAGTCCTTCTGCAATGAGCAGGGGCACCTTCAGCCAGATCAAGTTGCTCAGAGGCCCGTCCAATCTGAACCTAAATGTTTCCAGATATGGGGCATCTACCACCTCTCTCAGCAACSTGTTATACTGTTTCACCAGCCKCACTGTAAAAATTTCTAACTTCTATCTATTTTAAACCTACCCTTTTTCAGCTGAGAACCATTACCCTTTGCCTCACTGTAAGTCTTACTAAAAAGTTTGTCTCCATCTTTCTTACAGGCCCCCTGCAAGTACTGAGAGGCTGCAAAAAGGTCTTCCAGAAGACTTTTCCAGCCTGAATATCTCAAACACTCTCAGCCTCTCCCAACAGAAGTGTTCACCCCTCTAACCATCTCTGTTACCTCTGGACTCACTYCCTCAASAGGTCCATGTCCTTCTKGCGCTGAGAACCCCAGAGCTAGATGCAGCCCTCCTGCTAGGGTCTCACCAGAGCAGAGCAGAGGGGCACAATCCCCTCTCTTGCTGGCTACACTGCTTTGGATGCAGCCCTGTATACAATTGGTTTTCTAGCTGCTTGACTGCTCATGAACAGCTTCTCATCCACCATTACCACCAAGTCCTTCTCAGAAGGCTTCATTTTGAGCAAATAAATGTTTTGAGGTTTTAATAGTCAGATTTTGCAGCACTAAGTTACTGAATATGCAGCTGTGGCACAGCAGAGTGCCTCTTTACATGAATGGCCTTTATAAATTGTTTTACAAAGAACTGATCTTTCCCTCTATCTTATGCAGATAAATGTCATACAAAGTCACATTTATTTTTTAAAAGATACCATTCTGACTRGTGGGATTTTATTATTTTCTTCAAAAAAGGAAGCAATATTAATACTCAATTAGTGTAGTTTCTGGATAGTAAAAGAACTTTTTCCTGTTAGTCTAGCTRCTCAATACAATAACCCTAAGCCAAACTCAGTTGTTTAACACCAGTTTTCCTCCTTCAGTTCTAATCTTTCTCTAGGGCTTCTTTTAATTTCCCAAATAGAAAACTGCATAACTGTGACAACTCCCCTCCTACAAAACGCTTTTCTGACTGGGTATCTTCTGCAAACTCTCTTCCTCAAATAATATCTGTTACCCAACTGGCATCWGAAGAGAGAAGCCCATAACCACTTCTCTATTTACTAAAGGAAAGAATAACTGTCAAGCTGCCTGAAAATGTTGTTCTATCYACTAATACTGAAGCCTGCAGCTCTGACTGACCAAACCCCTCGAGGTGAAATGTGACAGAAAAAAGCCCAACAGTGGATAAAACACTCTGTGGAGATGGAGAATGCTGATGTGCCCAAGAAGTTCTGGCARTAATGCAAAGGAACTCAAGGAGCTCACACAAAGGGGGCCAGTGGGTGGCCTTTGTTTTATGAAAACAGCTAAATGACAGTTGAGTGCAGCTCAGAATTGCTAAGTGGATCAAATGGAGGTGTAATGTCTCCCAAATTAGCCAGGCCAGCTTCGGGGCAGTGAATAGAGGGCTCATCCAACATAAGCATGCAAAAACTAAATAACTAGCAAAATAACTTCAAAGAGAACAATGAGCTTGAGCTGGTTGCAATCCAGATATTCCTTCCAGTGGCTGGGGACATCAGCATCATGACAGTGAACATATTACTGAGACCAGTAATGAGAATCACATCAGTACTGTGACTGGACTGTGCAATTGCTGTATTTTTCCAAGTATAACTTGCAATTTATTGTTCTCAGTCTATTTTATATCACTCTCCTAAATAAGAAACCTCACATAGTATCAACTATCTCCAAATAAGTATATTTGATATTAAATATTACATCCTTTATTTATGGAACATCTAAAAGAASCTAGTCAGAAACTAGCAGACTCACAGCAAGCAGTCTCCAGACACCACAGTCATTCAATACAGTAATGCAGAAAAGAAGGTGCATCATTCCAGGTCAAAGTTCGTCTTTTTCAGGGTCCTTGTTAATCTGAGAAGTATCTTTGTGTCATAGAACTGTGTCTGAATATTCACTGAATATCTTAYTTATAAGTAACTTCAACAAAACACTATTATGAAATATATCAGGAAGATACTGGTAATTATCAATACCTGCATTGCACAAGATTCCTCATTATCATAAAACAGGCTGTTTTAATTCTGCATTACTTTTCTATATTTACACTTCTATACAGTAACATTCTTGCCTACAATCAAGACACACATAAATTTTAAGACTAGGTTTACCTACATCATTATCCACACCATCCTCAGGAAACTCCTCTTTACATCCTTTTTTTTTTTTTTTTTTTTTAAAATCTTCAAGGTGATACATACTTTACTGTCTTAGAGAAAGATCCTTCCTCCAGATTTTCTACAGGAGAAAAATGAGACTTTCAAGCACCAAAGACAATTCCATCCAGCTCAGATAAGACCATACCAATGAGAAAGCAATGGTGTCAAAGTGTCAGAAGGAATAGAGTAGTAGAAACAGCTATGTGTTGGCATCACTTACAAGAGCAGGCCAAAAAGATCACTGCAGACCTTTAAGCAGCTTCACGGGACACTGAAATCAGGAAAGGGATTAAAACAAAGGGGAGACTGAAATTATTAGAAGTTGTGAAACCAGAAGTCTGGAGCCCAAAGGCTGACTCAGATAAGGTGAAAAAGGAAGCGCAAAAACCAGCAGTATTGCCCAATGACTTAGATTTGGGACAAGATCACACTCACTGGCATKTAAAGGATACTAAAATGTATCGAAATGAGCATACTGTCCTCAAGCTAAGAAACAACTTATTGTCAATATCAGAATCATGCAGAGGGCTTGAAGGACTGCATCCCCTTRATCTCCGAGTTACTACAAATAATTCAGGCAAGACTTGGACAGAGGCACATAGGTGCTTGAATGTTGGAAAGATTGCTATCCATAAAACAAAAATTTGTTGCCTCTCTTACAATAAGGATAGCAAGCCTGTGAAACAAACCTATTGATACGCTCCACATCTTTGACATTCAGTGAGACTCTTGATAGCAGCTTCACTTAAAAGGGAATTAAATTTACTTAAAATAGCTCCTCAAGAGTATCAAAGGAAGAGCTGGTGTTCTCTCTTCTTCCACACCCCCGCTTATTTTGTTTAACATGGTCAATAACTGTATGCCTGAAGGTATTTATTTAAAAAAAAAAATCGTTAATGACAACTTCCCTTTATCCATAAAAGCAAAACTTCAAAATGGACATAAGTTTGAATGTCCCCAGCTGGGAACYCTGCCCTTAACAAATACACTAGATACACATACATGGTTTCTTGGCTGTCTCTATTCATACCCATCTGTTAACATGGCACTGTGCCTACTTACAAGTTGGTCAAACTATCAGCAGGCCATAGGTGCCAAACACTGATCGCATGCAATGGGCAGCACGCACAATACTATGCATTCACTCCCTTGCAAAAAAGCTGTTATCCACGGAAATATTTAAGCAACGGCTGCACATGCTTTCACATCCATTTCTTTGGATAAATCAATTCAAATACCTTCTATTGATTGAAACCAGACGCACGGATGCAGCAAAAATTTTCTACATGAAAATACAGAACTAGAAAATAAACTACAACAAAAATAATGAAAAAAGATAATCACAATTTAGTGCAACTTCTGTCATTCTATGTGCTTTTCAACTCATAATACAGCAAACACAAGGGGTTTGTCAGGAAACTTACGCACCAACAAACATGACATAGAGCTGTCTACTGTACATTGCACAACTGGAATAATGCCATCTACTTCTCCCTAAAACCACCTTTAAAAATTCACCCCCACCATCCCTCCAAAATGAAAAAAAAAACTTAAACTTTCCTCTCAATTACTTCTTCCCATCAACAAAAGAAAATATTTTCTATCCACAGGTATTGTGAAGCTTAATTCATTAGTTCCTGCAATCATGCTAAAGTCCTTGGAAACAGTGCCATGGATGTCAAGTGCTGTACTATCATTCAAGAGTCAGACCTGACCCTACTTAGCTAAGGTGCCTGACAAGAACAATTTTCAAGGTGCATGAYTGTAAACAGCAATATGTTTTGTCGCTACAATGTGCTCAAAACAAAGATTTTCCTACTAAGAAGTATGAATAACAGAAGTCTATTTGTCTAAACTCTCTCCAAAAGCATCTTAGGACTACAAAGGMTTCTACTTAATAAAACATCTTGGATGAAACAGAATACAGTGTACTTGAGATAGCACTATTGATGCAAAATTGTCTGCATATCAGTGTGTTATCTTTACAAATGTTGTCTGCAATGGTTGCTACTTGAGCGATACTTGAACTCTTAGAATAAATATGAATAGCCACTTCTCAATTCTTATTGCCATCCATAATCAACAAAACTCTGAAATGAATATAAAACAAATTTATTTTGAAGTAAGTATTTATGCTGTGTGTCAAGTCAAACTCATTTCTTTCTGATCTTCCTCTTTTATTCTCTGGAAACTGTCATTTTTACAGTTGTTTATCTTAGTAGGACCTATTTTCATTGTCAACCAGAGACAGCATGCCAGTGACCTGTGCTCCTACACGAGCAGGTAGTTCCAGCAAGACCTGAAATATATGCATCATTAAAAAACTGTTCATTARTTAAAGCAAGAAATCTATATCTGCCTGAAAAAAAATAATTAAAGAGAAAACAAAACCAAATTTTTGCTCAAGGAGTGGGAAAGAAAAAAACATGACTTTTGAATACTTTAGAACTGTTTGTGGAGGGACCACACAAAAAAGTAATTGCTGTGTCAGTGACTTGTTACACCGAGTGAGGCAGATTGAACAAAGACTTTCTTGCAAAAATCAGACATTCTATGACTGGTCTATCGCTGTCTGTGAAAACCCCTCTAATCCAAGTTCCTGACAATTAAGACACCTGATAAATAATAACACTTATGGAAGAAGAGACACTAAGATCCTGTCCCCAAGATTTTTTTTTAAATGTCTTTTTAGACAAAATTAATAAATGCCATTGGTGGACCACAATTACTGAGAAAYATGTAATCACAACAGCATCATAMTGGATGGAGGAAATGCCTTTTTTCCTAAACAAACCAAGATGACTTAATATTTCAGAATGCATCTTGTTCAGAGGTAGGAAACAGTCATTTACAAGAGTAATTAGTGTCACTAATTTTAAATTGTCTTCTCAAGACTACATTACCTTCTTTTAAGTCTACTGAAAACCCTAAACATCACTCAGTTATTGCAAAAAAAACAGTGAACACTGTAAGGTACCAGATCATATCACTCCAAAGCACCTCACCTCCAAACCAACTGCAAATACCTAATGCATGTGAAACACTTAAAGGCTTTTTGATAATAAGGCATGCTGCATGAAAACCAACAGCTCTAAAGTTCATCAGGAATCCTACCTCACTTGAGGATTGTCCCCAAGAATTTAGTAGACAGATTACTCCTACAGAGGAAGGCACAAGCCCTTTGACAGAGTATTACAAGAAGCTTCGCAACAGCTTTCGTATTTTTGTTAGCCATAAAAAGGGCCCATGGATTCCCTATAAGTTAATAAAAGCCTTTAGTACTATTTTATTTGTGCTTAAGCATAAATTGAAAATCAGAGAACAAGAGTTTGCTCTGCCTGTAACTGCTTAAGTCTTTCCTAAACAAGGAAGTCAAATAGCAAGAAATAGGAAGTAGAAACAACCCACAACGAATGACAGAAACAAGCTTAGTCCCATTCTTACATAACAGGCCTTTCTGATCCTAAAAYCGCAGATTTTTGTGATTTATGGGCCTGTACTTAAAAAGTTTACTTTAAAGCAAAACTCAGGAACGCCTCCCAACCAAGGTGAAGCCAACACCAAGATGATCCTGAAGGTGAGGAACCTCTAAGTGGTACAGAACATAGCTTTTACTCAGCCTCCTCCACCTGACCTTAGCGCTAAAAAAACCAAGCAGGAATGAAAACAACTTAGGCCGCCGCCAACATAGGCAGCTTTAGAGCCCACAGCCCAGGAAGTAGAGGAAAGGGGAGTCCCCAGACCTCAAGCGTGAAACTGAATGAGCTCTGCCCCACCTGCCCCGTTCTCTGCCTCCCTGTCGGCGCCACGGCCTGGGCCAGAAGGAAGGGAAGGCGCCTTCGCTGCCTCTGGGGACGAACAGGGCGCGAGCAGGCCCCGGCGGTACCACCGGCCTCCTCCGCGAGGGAAGCGGGAAAACCGGTCCGCAAYCCGCCAGGAGGGCCGGGGACGCTCGGCACGGCGAAGGGGGATGAGGAACAGTGCCCCAAAACGCGCCTCCTAAAAAACAAAACCCCAAACAACTGCACCCCTGAGGCTTCCGCTGGTTCCAAGTACCTCCTGCGCGCGCGGGCCCGGCGCCGCTCCTTCCTCCCGGTCCGAAATTCCCGCACTGCCCGCGGCCCCAGGCGGCCCGCCCGCCTCGGGGCCACCTCCCAGCATCGCCCGCGCCCATTGGTCGGCCAAGGGCGGCCACCCGCCCCCATCCCCTCCTGGGCGCGGAGCCTTCTGGGAAATGTAGTCTGTAACCGACCTTCCTGGAGGCGCTTGCTGCGGTCACGGACTACACTTCCCGAAACGCGCCGCGGCCCGCGATGGTCCGGGAGCTGACGGTTTTTAGAGTCACGGAATCGTTTGGGTTGGAAAAGACGTTTAAGACCCATGTTCACCACAAAACCCTATATCCAAATGCCACGTTCGCATGTTTGTGGAACATTTCCAAGGATAGTGATTCCACCATTGCCCTGGGCTGTGTTCCACTGCTTCACAGTCTTTCAGTGAAAAAATTTTGAGAGTCATAAGAAACCTCGGTGTCTTAAGTTGTAGTAAGTTTGGGAAGGCCTTTGTGAAGCTGATAGACAGAATCAGTTAGGTTAGAAAAGTCCATGGAATCCAACCTATGACCGAGCACTATCAGGACCAGTGGACCATGGCACTAAGTGCCCTGTCCAGCCTTTCCTTAAACRCCTCCAGGGATAGTGATTCCTCCTCCTTTCATTGTCATTTACAAATATCTGCACACCACATCTGATTCTGGCACTCTGTAAATTCTTTGCCATGAAAGACATGGCCAAACTAGAAATGTAAGGGATGAGGCAGGAAAATAAAAGGACAATGGTTTTGCTAATTCACTGAGTGTTTCAAACCTTTAAAAAGGCATGATGGTTTTGTKGCCACTATCTTCAAAAATGAAGAGGCAGTTTTAGAGGTACTAAGTATGTTCATCATGACAGTACTTACATAGATTTCCTTGAAAACCTGGCTAATTAAGAGTAATAGAAATGTATTCTTGACATACAAGGTACTACCAGAGATGCTCAGGAATCTGAACTGTTCTGAATGTTCTAGTGTATTACTGTTCATAGGAAAGACAAAAGTTTGTTTGAGCAAAGTGAAGTACACTGCCAGACATGATAGCATTTCACTTGCAGTACCATCCGCTTTAGTACTGAATTACTGGGATAATGAAAATATTTTGAGATGCTGATAGAGGAAATTAAATTAGAAATTTAATAAATATTCCACTTCTTCACATGAATCACATTCTAATTTAATGGAATGTAGTACTCAGGTTCCAAAGTAAATTATTTTCTTCACATTCACATTCTTCCAAAAATCATAGAATTAAATGTCTTATAACTCCAGCATGTGTTCTCTTTCTGCAGTCTTCTTTATTTTTCTACTTTGCAAAATGAGAAGAAAAATCTTATACATTTCACGAACACCATGTCATACTAACACAATGCTATAAAAAGACCCCAAAAATTAATTTAAAAAATAGCAGAAAATTCCAAAATGAATGGGGAGACTGTGACACCACAGATACTCGATAAAAGAGTACAMATGCACTACACTCAGCTGTTCTTAYCTTGGGCTGAGGACCACAGATGGGAGTAGAGATTAAGGTTACTGTACCAAAAATTCATCACGGTATTTTCTTCAAATTGCAGACCTCGTGAATGGCTAGACCAAAAAAAGTTTTGCTAAAAACCTTGTGGGCYGAGTCCATAAACAGTGGTGTGATCACATTCCAAGGAAAATTTTTGATTCAGTACCTTTTGTTACCATGGGCCCACAATCACCTGCTGTGGTGTACAAGGAATTATGCTTCCCATCATATCCACTTGTTATCCTGCAGTGGGAATATACTGACACTAAGGAAAAAGTGTGGTAACTGCAGACTTTCTTTTTGTCCTGCCATTCACACTTCACACTATTTTCCTAAATGGAAAGAGGTATCGAAATTAAATTAAGGTTGTGACTTTTTTTCATCTAATGTGCATTTCTTAAACTTTAAAGGAGTAATCACTATTCTCCGAGCATAGCAGTATGGCACTCCAAAGTTGTCTTGTTTATCCATTAATACATATTTCAGGAGAACTGAAAGTGATCTGCTCAGTAACCTCAGGGCATATGTATTTTAGGAGACCAGTATAACATCCTATTTTGTTTGAGTGCTGTTAAAAGGTAGATAGGAACAAAATTGGTTTCACCAATCTTTCTAGCTGTCTTTACAAGTTAGACTAATTAATTTTTGTATTTTTTGGAAGGAATTTAAATTTTTGTTTATTAATTCCTKCAGAATGCAAGTAAGAAGAAACTATTAGCTTGAATACTTATCCATTTGATYAAACAATTTATTTGCTCAGTGCAGTTACTACACATCTGTATAAAAAATTACACATGAGGTAAGTCCGTCGTCTAAGTTTTCGTCACCAAACACAGGTACAATATTGTTTTTTTGATAGGGTCAAGTTCCTAAAGAACTTAATAAGGAATCACTTCAGCAATTAATATTTACCCCTTATTACAAATGAAGACTCAGACAGAGATGCTGAGTAAAGTTTGTTTAGCTTGAAGTGATAAAGGAAAATTTTAACAAATGACAAAGTAAGACCTGGTTTTCTTGACTCTTAATTCTATATGGTGAATTAAGAAGACATAAATTTTATTATTCAAAACATTTTAAATCCGAAATGAATATGCTGAGGCACGGAAAGTCTTTGAAATCTTGAAGGTCTTTTAAAATTTCCTCTGTATTCATTCCCCAAGTAAGGTAGTTAAATTGTTAAAGAGAGGAATGGAATATGAGATAAAAGAGATCCAATCTCTACACAGTACCAAATAATTCAATGGAAAGGGGATGAAGTATTAGAAGAATTGATGAAAATCCTGTGGAAGAAAAGCTACASAGTGAGATCTATTGAAAGTTTCACTTTTTTCTGTCAGTTTTGTGTAGCTAACAGACACATGATTTGGAGCTGTTAAAGGAAAAAAATTTAAATAACTTGAAGCTTCTAAGACTAGAGCTTGTTTGAAGTGCATTAAATTAATCCAAATTAAAGGACTTTCTTGAGTTTCTAAAGCATTTGCATGTTTTCTTTGGTCAAGGTCCAAACTCATATGCATGGGCAGTTTTTCTCTGCTTAAATGACTGAATTGTCTTGGCTGTGAAGTGCCTTCCCCCATCCCAGTTGGAGCTATATTTATAGGTACACACGCATTTTATCTGGGGGTACTGTATATCCTACACTGTGGATTCACTCACATGCACACAAACAGCAGTGCATAGGATCCAACTGTAACRATGCAAAGAGCTTCTGTTTATCATCAAACATTTCATATATCCCATTACATGTGAAAGAATTATTATCTGTCCTGTTGCAGTGCAATGCTTTTTCYTATAATGGAATTTTACTCTGCAAATTTATTTTGGTATTAAAAGGTTCCACTTTATAATGTCTATGGTTCAATCAGTGATCTAAAAGGCACTTAAATACTTTGAACAAGATACATAAAACGCTTTTATTGCAAAGCTTTGCTGTATCTACCAATTTTACCATTGATCTCTTTCCATGTAAGGCAGTTCTGGAAGCTGCCCATGCTGTATAAAATCACATGGTGGCTTTTGATCTCCAGCTGGTGATTAAAGCACATTATGGAGGTTTGAAATTTTCTTGTGGTCATTAGCATACCTCCAAACACTTCCCTGCTAAATAGTGGTGTTGTCACTACATGCTATTTAAATAAGAAACCAGAATTCTCTAAACTTATTATTTGCTATTCTTTGCAGCTCAGAGGAAATTGATCTCTTGATGAGGTGAGCTTATACTTAGCTGTGGACTTACTGATCAAATGGTGATTTCTTAAGGTGATTAGGCTCTAGCAAAATGCATGAAAGAATGAGGTTATGTTTTTTAAAACCCTCTTTTGATGCAAGCAAGGCAGAGCTCTTTGCCTTGCACTCCCCATCTACAGTTCCATATTTCCCACTGCTTAAAGACATCACTATCACTTCCAAGGTCACCAAGCTGTCACACGTTTTCTACAGTGGATTTTTAAATAATGCAGTATTAACTCTCTTGATTGAAAATAGAAAAAAAATGTAGCATCTTTCTAAACAGTTTTTGAAAATGCATTTGTGTGTTGGGGAAAATAAAGGATCACCATGTACTTGCTATTTTCTCTAGCAATCTCTTCATTTCTTTTCACAGAAAATAAACAAAGATGCCAGCTTTATATATTTATCTTTCACTTTACTGTATTATTACATTGCATCTTATTTTTACWTTTTTACCATCTATACCTTGCTAGGAAGCAAGGTTTACTGAATGTTACCAAGATACAGAGGAAAACATAACACTTGTTGAAAGATATTACAGACAGTAAGTACCAAATAAATTCAAAAACCTGATAGTTGTTCTACCCTGTCTCCTCACTCCCCGAAATAGAACAAATACAGGTAACCTGGTTTCTGACAAGTCAGTGGTTACAGGCTTTTAAAAGGGAATAAAATCTGGGTCGAGGGAAGACTATTAGCCTAGAATRGATTTTGCAGTTGTAAGGGACACATTTGAAAGGACAGTAAAACTTGTGGAAGAGATGTGCAGGCAAAATATCAAGGTTAGCTGATATCAGCAGACCCGTAAAAGAACACAGTTTTGAGTCTGTTGTACTGTGTGGCACCTTGAAATGTTTGAACCTAGGAAATAATAGTTTCTCATCTTTGCATTTATCCATCGGTTTCATGAGAGAGAACACTAAAAATTTATCATTTATGTTATTTTTTTTATTTTTAAACAACATGCTAAAGTACTTAAGATCTTTTATAAGACTGGAGACAACAGCTTTTGTCTGAGGAGCATGTTGTTAAGAGAAAAAAAAAACCAACAAAAAGCTAATGGAAATTAGCACATTTCATCCTTTTTTAATGACAAAAGTWAATCCATATTCATGTAAATAGGTTTTTGGTGAATTAATTGTCTTGTACAAACTTTCTTTGAGGAAGTAAAAGGGGCA